AGGGAGTCCCGGCACCGGTGTCGCGCTCGGCCGTTCGCCGGGCCAGACGTTGGGGCGGTCAGCAAATGGCGACCCAGACCCCGAGCGCGCAGACCCCTTGTCACCTGGTTTGCGGGTTTAAGCTCTGGGAAGGGGCGGACGGGTTCAATTTAGCAAACCCAGAGAACCCGGAAAGCCACCCTGGCGTTCCTGTTCGCTTTTAGAAACTTGCGTCCCTTGGGGACAAACGGGTTAAAGTCAGTCGGGGAGGCATCACCGACTGTCTCCACGGGATGAGCGAAGTTGGTAACTTTTCCATTCATGGAAGTGAGAGGCTCGTTGGCTTAGCCTCAGTCCTTATTAAAGGGAAACTTCTGATTTTCGGGCCCAAGAGGTTATTTGTGTCCTGCCCCCTGAAGAACGTTGCTGGGAGAGGGGACGGAGCGCGCACGCTGGATTCGGAGTGATCTGCAGTCAGTGTCTTTTAAAGGTGTGTATTTGGACTTACCGGGGCAGACTGGCAGAACAAAATGTTTACCATGGTTGTAGTACTCCTTTCCTCTCCCTGACTCTTGTTTTTCCTTCCAAGCTCTGTCCTAAATCCCAGATAAAAGATGCTTGGGAAGGAATTGACCTTTTATTCCATGATTACTTTGTTGACTCTGGTCCAAGATGAAGTTATTTATGGATATTCTGTGCAGATGAACTTAAAACTCTTTTAATACAAAAACCCATGCTTTCTACATTTTGCCCAAGTACTGAATTTCAATACTTTGTTGTATCCCTTAAAGATCTAGTGAATTGTATGAACAGATTTTGCATTTGCTCCTATTAAGGTTTTCCAAAGCAGTCCGGTTGTTGACAAGGCGAAAGGGAAAGGGTAGCAAAATACATGCCGTTAGGGTTTTTCTGATGGTTAGATTTCAGTGTGCAGCTTTCGCAGAATCACTCTTCTTTATGCTTAGTCACTGTTTCTCTCTACAGAAGTTTAATTGCGGATAACAGGGCGCTAACATTTTTAATTGCCAACTTGTTTTTACCTGGTACTTTCATTCGATGACATAAGCTTTTTCTGTGATTCTGGAAATGTTGTGGGTGGAGTTTTGTGAAGGTTAGAAGAGAACTGAAGTTTCCCATACTGACGAAAGTTTTTCTAGTCTAAGTGTACCAGGTATTTAATTTCAATCCAGTATTTGTCCATGCCTAGCATTATGAGACTTTTTTTAAATACAAAGTGTCCTAATGAAATATACCATTGAAAAGCAGTATATACATAATTGCTAAAATTTTAGATAATGTATACATTTTTTTTCAGACAGGTTCTTTAAGGTCATCAAAATAGATATTTGTTAATGTATATGCTGTTTGATGTGACATGTTTCTAATGTATCTATTTTAATGGGATAAGCGCCTATGCTAGTCTGTATGATTGAGGATAAACCTGAGTTCCTAATACTGCTTAGTTTGGTAAGAGGAGTTAGTCCATGAAATGGAATGGTATATTTGTAAAATTCTTTGATATGAAAGTCTTAAGTCGAGATTGCATAAAGTATTCCTTAATTTCAAATTCAATATGATGAAATAGATGAGTTTGGCCTTTGACTAGTTGCCTCTGTATTGAAGCTAACTAGATGGTAGGTACAAACAAGCATATCTCAATTAAAACCTACTCTAAAAATCTGTCACAAATATGTTTGTCTGTTTCCTGGCATGGGTAATAGTTGTATTAGGTAGTTCTTCATATGACTGTTTTTAATAAGCTTTATGCTTAAATGACCTCATATAAAAATAATTACACAAAAAGCTTAGTGAATGTAAATATGGCTGTTGTGTAAAGTGAAGTACCTTTGTTTTCTGAGAACTGCGTGTTTCTTTCCTTGTGGACACACACATGGCTGTAAACAGCCTTTGCAGACTTGTAGACTCTTTACAGAGTGATTGCCTCCAGGTCACAACCTGGAAGCCCACTCCCCCCATACCATGCTGCTGATGTTAATAAGCAGAGTTCTTCCATTTGGGTAGGTTATTTTTATCTGAGGATCAACTTGAAAAGGTTCATGCCTAAGTATTACATATGAACATAATTTCTTTTTCAAAATAAGTCTATAATTCATTTAATTAGGAAGATTGCAAGTAGTTAGGATGCATGATTTAGGATGTTATTCATGACCATATTTAAAAATTAAATATGTGTCTTTTGATTATATTACATCTATATGGATAAAAACTTAAAAAACTCTTATGTCATAAGGTCAATAATTCCATAAATTTAAAAGTCAGAATCAAAGTTTAATAAAAGAATATATATATGTATTATAGCCCATTTAGCCATTTTGAGCTGGGAGCATGTGTTTTCAGTTGGGAATTTAATATTTTCAGTTGGGAATTTAATGATAGTAATTTTTTTTAAAGAACCATTTATTTTACTTTGTTATTATTATTTATTTATTTAATTGACCAGAGTGAGAGAGAGAGAGAGAAAGAAAGGGAAAGTGAAAAAGCAAGCCTCCAGATCTGGGACTTGAACTACAGTCAGCCATGTGGGTGTCCAGTACCTTAACCACCATGCCACCTGTTGGCCCCGGCTAGTGAATGTTTCAAATCTTGTTCAGCCACCTCTGTCCCCCTTTTTTTTTTTTTTTTTTTTTTTTTTTTTTTTTTTTGCTATAGGGCACGTTTGCTCGCCACACAGACAGACAGAAACAGAGAGACAGAAAGCGAGAAATCACCCCCTGGCGGGGGCTGGTTATTCTCCTCTCGGGATCTTGGGCACGCATGCAAACGTGCCCGGCGTGAGTTGAAGCCACTGGGTTTGGGACTTGAACCATGGTCGACTACATCGGAGTCCAGCAACATAGTCATTAGGCTGACTGCTGGTCTCCTTCCTCCCTTTCTAAAAAAGAGATGAGATGCCTAATGAAGGTATAAGGCGCATGTACTCACCAGAAAGACAGAGAGACAGAAAACAAGAAATCACCCCCTAGGGGGATGGCCTTGTTGCAGTCCCTTCTTCCCCACTCTCCTCTTGGGATCTTGGGCACGCACGCACACATGCCCAGCATGAGTTTAAGCCACCGGGTCTAGGACTCAAACCATGGTCTACTACTTGCGAGTTCAGCGACATAGCCATTATGCTAACTGCTGGTCCCACTAAATGTAATATTAAGCAGTAGCTGATGGCACTTCCTATTTAGACATGCTTTTTCTTACCATGTACTTACTTGGACACCAACTCCTGCCTTTTTGTTTAAACATGGTACTTGTATATTCCGTTTTCCCCAGTAACCAGCCCTCAGGGTTGACAGGGAATTAAAATAGTGGAACAATATAAAGGTAACTGTTTCTTCCTATGCTTTTTATTATTATTAACTTTTAAGATTTTAAAATAATACGAGGTTTAAATTAACCTCCTTTGATTTACTTTTCCTTTTGATTTGCTTTTTTGATGGACCATATATTTTCCTTCATACATAATGTTTGGAATGTATCACCTACATGCTCAATAGATGTTTGAGCATCATTGACTTTTTTATGGCTGATACAGTGAAGTAATTTTGACTCACTTAGATAGTCTAATGCTAGATCTATAAGGTGGTATCTTTTCCTGGAATATGTAGTTTTCCATGAAAGTAGGTATCTCAATTTGTTTGAGGACACATTTTGTTCTTTTTTGTTATTATACTTCATGTATTTGACACAGATGAGTCTCTAGTTAAGGTAGGGTTTTAAATGCAAGGAAGAGTAGCAGGTTGAATGAAACATAGTCCTGACTCTCATGGAGCTTGTAATTTTCCTATGGAGATAGGTATTCAGCATAACTTACCATGTCGAATTGTCAGCAGCATTTTCAAGGAAAAATACAGTGTGTAATAAGCATACATAATGTGGGATTCAAATCTTGTCTTCAGGGTACATAGAAAATAACATTTAAGCTGAGACTTGAAGAGTCGAGGCTTGGGCTGGCTCCCTGGCCTGATGATTACAGCTGCCAGATTTCACGTGGCTGATCCCCTGTCCAGGTCCTAGACCCATGGCTTGAGAACCACATTGGTGGCCTGGGCATGTGTGCCCAAACTTCTGACAGGATGGAGTAATGGGAGAGAGGGGATTGCGGTGTGACCATTTCCCATGTGGGGTGCTTTCTCCCTTTTACTCTCTCTGTCAGCCTGGGGAGCACACATGCCCTCTGGCAAAATTAAGAACAATGCAGGGGCAGAGGGCGTGGGGGGGTAGGGGGGACAACCCAGAATGTGGGAATGGAAACATGTCTCTCTCTCCTCTGCCTTCCTGTCTGTCTGCCATTTGTCTGTCTGGGTCTTAAAACAGGCAGATATCAGGATCAGCCTTGAGGCAGCAAACTATTTTGAGGTTACTTTTATGAGCAGCATATTTAAAAATCATGCTTATTTGTATTTTTTTATTTACTTATTTTCTTATGTATTTTAATGAACTTGGGAAACATGGGTTTTTGTTTGTTTGTTTGTTTTTGCGGGTGTGATATCTTTTTTTTTTTGAGAGGTTTTTGCTATAGGGCGTGTGTGCTCGCCAGAAAGACAGAGAGAGACAGAGAAACAGAAAGCGGGAAATCAACCCCTGGGGGGATGGCCATGCCACAGTCCCTCCTCCATTCTCCTCCCTGGCTCTTGGGCATGCATGCACACGTGCCCGGCGTGAGTTTAAGTCGCCGGGTCCGGGACTCGAACTGCGGTCGACTACATGGGAGTCCAGCGACACAGCTGCTGTTCCTGGGGAGGTGTGTGTGTGTGTAGCTGTTTGGGGAATTGTTAAATTCATAATGGTGTTCCACTTGCTGTTACGGAACTATATATGTAAATTATTTTTTAAAACAATTTAAAATGAATATATTTAAAGGAAAGTAATATGCTGTTATAATTAGAAAGGACTCAAAAGACTTTCTTGACCACAAGGGCTGATTAAGTGTTAGAATAAACTATTGATACAAGCAGAGTTGTGTAATCTTCATTCCTTAAATAACTACTTAAAATTGGATCACCAGTTACTGAAGTGCTGCTTTAAGTTTTCATAAGTAACTACACATGTCATTGTCTGTGTATTGATCAAACAAATATTTAAATCCTAGCTCTGTGCACATTGAGTAGATGACCTTGGGCGAGTCATTTAGGCTTCCTAAACCTTTTCCTCTGGGTTAAGAGGAATAAATGATGTGATATATGTAAAGAAGGATAAAATAGTTTACATAATTAGTGCTCTCTTTTCTTCTAAATCTACTTCAATAAATAAGTATTTTGGACTCATTGCTATGACCTTTTTATTTTTGTTTTTTAAACAAATAGTTTATTCAGAGGAGAATGGTGTTAAAGAGGCTGTTTTGAAGCTTGGGAGCCTTCTACTTTTGGTCTGTCTTCGCGTTGTTGCTGTTTTTTCATTTAACCCAGAGTTTGTTGCTGTTCTATCTTAAACATCTCTGAATTACGTGATGTTTTTAAGGTGTGTTCTGCCTTGTGTGGTCATGTGATGTTGAGTACAGTAACATAAAGTGTCCCTACAAGTTCTGAAAGCAGTGGTCAGGTCTTTTGAAACTGTTTGTATTTTTAGGTTTCTCCTTTGGTAACAAACTTGTAACCTTCAGCATGTGAGCTGAAGTCAGTCTAGTTGTTGCAAAATAAAAAAGCTACAGCTGTTTTCACAATCTAGTCACTCAGTAAGATTTGTTCTAATTCTTCTAAAGTTTCTCTTTGAATGTCTGCTTTATTTACAAATGTTTGGCATCGCCAATCTGTCATTTCTTTTATTATAACTCTTAGCATGTCTGCTTTTAGTTTTTAGGTTCTACACTTAGTGATACAATTTATGAGGATTAACAATAGAAAGTATTTAATTCATAATTTCCATTTTTTTTTTTTTGGAGAGGTTTTTGCTATAGGGCGCGTGTGCTCGACAGACAGAGAGAGACATAGAGACAAAAAGTGAGAAATCACCCCCCAGGGGGGATGGTCACGCCGCAATCCCTTCTCCTCCATTCTCCTCTCGGGATCTTGGGCACGCACGCACACGCGCCCAGCGTGTGTTCTAAGCCACCGGGTCCGGGAAGCGAACCGCGGTCGACTATGTGGGAGTCCAGCAACATAGCCATTACGCTAACTGCTGGTTCCCATAATTTCCAATTTTTAAATGCAAATTTTAAAATATAGTTTTGATGTTAATACTTTCCCCGCTAGCATCATTGACCACCGTAATATCAATTCAGAACTTTCCTACTTAATCAAGAAAAGTTGTATCAGTGATTTAGGTATTCTTATTGTTATTCTAGTTTGAAGAAAATAAAGCCACAACTGGAGAAAAAGATATAACAATTTGTGGGCCTGCAGTGGCTTGTAGGTTAAAGCACTGGATCCTACATGGCTGACTCCGTAGTTCAAGTCCCTGGCCCTGCAGCTTGGAAATCATACTGGATGCTTCTGTAAGCACATGCATAAGATACTGGGAGGAGAATGGAAGAGAAAGGATTGTGGCATGGCCATCTCCCCTGGGAGGTGATTTCTCACTTTTCACATCTCTCTGTCTCTCTCTCTGGTGAGCGCATGTATCCTGTAGGAAAAACTAAAAAACAATTAGAGTAGTGGTTACTTTAGCCACATGAAACCAAGAAAGACTTTATGGAAAAATACTTCAAAGAATGAACACTCTCTCTCTCTCTCTCTCTCTCTCTCTCTTTTTTTTTACTTTAAAAAATTATTTACATTTAATTCTTCTACATATTTGTGGGGAACAGTATGGACTTTTGAAGTGTGCATGCAGAATTTGATAATCAAATTGAAGATATTACCATATTCATCATTTTCAACAAAAAAAGTATTATGATGTCTACTTATAATTTTTCAATGATTTTTTTTTCCCATAAAGCATGTATGCTTACCAGAGACAGAGAAGGGAAGTGAGAAATAACCCTCCATAGGGGATAGCCACACTACACACCCTTCTTCTCAACTCTCCTCTTGGAATTTTGAGCATGCACGCATGTATCTGGTGTGTTTTTCGAACCTCCAGTTCTGGAACTTGAACTGTGGAGTCTGCCAAATGGGATCCAGTGCCTTAAACACCATGCCACCTGCTGGTTCATGTACCTTCAATTTGTATTAGCAGTCTCAAGTACCGAAGTGAAGAAAACAGGCCAAGAATCAGTGACTTACCCAGAAAATAATTGTCTACTGCAGTGGAATTTAATTGGGAAATGTGTCATGTACTCATGGAAATACATAAAAGTAATTAACTGTGGAGATCTAGAGTTTGGAAGAGGGATCTGGGCAGGATGTGTAGAGAGTTTCCAGCATGTGGATGGTCAATAAAACTTGTGGAAAAATCGAGAATTCCCAGGCAGAATGTATAGAGTGAGCAAGAAATAGTATGTAACTCTAAGGAGGAAAAATCCTTAAAAATAAAAGATATGGAAAATCCAGAGAGATTAGAGGAAAACTACTGAAGAGTGACATCCTGAAAATGAAGGGAAGATAATAGTCTTAAAAAGGAGGAATTAGTTATCATAAGGATATAATGGCCAAAGAAGTCAAGTCTGAAAAAATTACCTTTGGATTTAATATTAAGAATCTCAGTAGAGTACTTTTAAACAGTTCTGGTTAAAATAAAGCCAGAATTAGAAGATTGAAGAGTGTATGGGAGATTAGAAGATTTTGTTTGTTTTTCTTTGGAAAGCTTGACTAAATAGGAAAAAGAATGGTAGCAAAAGGGGGGATATTATTATAGTATTACTATTTTTTGGGAGAGATTTTTTGTTTTAGGGTGCATGCATTTGCTGGAGTGACAGAAAGCAAGAAACCACCTCCCCACCCCCAGAGGGGTGATTATGCCACAATCCCTTCTCCAGTCTCCTTTCAGGATTTTGGGCATGCGCACACATGTGCCTGGGGTGAGTTTCAAGCCTCTTGAGTCCAAGACTGGAACCGCCATCAGCCATGTGGGAGTACAGCACCATAACCATTATGCCCTCTGCTGGTCCATTATTTTGGTTTTTTTTAAAGATGAAATGTTCTTTTAAGATTTTACTGCTAGTAGGAACAAACCAGTAAAGAAATTGAAGATTATAAGAAAAAATGCATTGAATAAGCTTAATAATTATAATTACTCTATTGTAGTTATGCTGTCTCTTGTTTTAGGAATAAACTTTTTTTTTCTTTGCCATAAGGCGCATGCAAGCGAGAGCGAGAGTGAGAGAGAGCAACGAGAGTGAGAGCGAGTGAGAGAGGAACGATTTCCAGGGGCAATGGTTACGCCTCACTCTCTTCTTCATTTCTTCCTCCTTTCAGGATTTTGGGCACACTTAACACAAAACATACACAGTGGTTTTTTCAAGCCTCCAGGTTTAATTCTCAAGCCCTGCAGTTGGCCACATGGGATCTAGGTTCCTTAATCATCAGGCCACCAGCTGACCTGGTATTAACTTTTCTTGATAGAAGTTATGCTGATTTTTAAAGCAGGAAATAATATTAGGTATCTATAATCCTTTCATGTTATTTTATAGATACTATTCCTCTGTGTAAAATTTTCAGTGACTTCTAATTAGCAAAAACCTTGAACTCCTTAGAAGAGCATGTAGCTCTCATCATTTGCCTCATTCCTATATGGCCCTATCTCTCACAACTACCTTGCATTTTGCCTAGAGATCCAGCTGTACTTGGAACCTGAGGTTCTTTGTCTATGTATTACCAGTTCATGTTTTCTGTTTTTGCATATGATATTACTTCTGCTTTGAATGCCTCAGTTCCTTACCAGTTTTCCTTCCCAGACTATATACTTCTCATCTATCTTTCAAGACTACTACACTTCTCTATCCCCTACCCATACTGATGATTATTTTTTCTGAGCGACCATTTTATTTCAGTCATATTGCTCACATAATAATGTGATACAGTTTTTATTCTTTGATCTCCAACTGTAGCTCCTTGAGAGGACGCACCATGACTTACTAATCTTTATGTTGCCTCACCAAGTACGGTACACAGTACAGGAGTATTTAAATAATAAGTAGATGTTTAGTGAACAGATGGATGTCGTGACCTTCGGAAGTTAAGTGATTTGCCCACAGCCACAGAGCTTCAGCTAGAACTTTTATTTTCTGGATAAATTCCCTGTATATTTTAACTAAGGCTTTTTCTGTTGACTTGTAGAATTTATTGAGACATATGTAGAAGAGATTGATATATGAAACCTTAAGTGAACTCGTATATTTAGAGGGAATATAAAAAAAAGAAGACTTCTAGTAAAGATTTGTTAAATGTGTTAATGAAATTGAGATAATTCTCTGTTAAGAATATGATGTCTCTGTAATGTGGTATACATCACTATCAGTTTAGCTGGAATTACATAGGTAAAAGCTAAAACATTCTCTGAAATATAAAAGTTAAATGATATACTAAACAGTGCTAGAATTTAAGTATCATATTGTGTAACTTTTGCCTTTTTAGCCACATTATTATATGGTATATAAAAATGAATCTTTCTGAACTTTTTAAAGTAATAAATTGTTACTTGACTCAAAATATTTAAGTTCTTTCAAGATTTATCATGTGTAAAGTTATATAGTTAAATACATTTATTTTATATGTTTCATCCTAAAATAAACCAAGATATATTAGTGGTTTGATTTATATTGTTATACAATTTTGAAAAGTCAACCATCTTTTTCCTAACTTCTTATCTTTTTCCATTTGAACAATTAGAGCTGGACTGGCCATCATGGAGGAGGAGCTGCAGCACTCGCACTGTGTGAATTGTGTCAGTAGACGATGTATGACCAGACCAGAGCCTGGGATTTCCTGTGATTTGATTGGTTGTCCATTGGTTTGTGGAGCAGTTTTCCATTCTTGTAAAGCTGATGAGCATCGACTTTTATGTCCATTTGAACGAGTGCCTTGCTTAAACAATGACTTTGGATGTCCATTTACCATGGCCCGAAATAAAGTTGCTGAACATCTGGAGATATGTCCTGCAAGTGTGGTGTGTTGTACTATGGAATGGAACCGATGGCCAGTTAGTTATGCAGACCGGAAATCATATGAAAATCTAAGCAGAGATGTTGATGAAGTGGCGCAATTAGATATGGCCTTGGCCCTTCAAGACCAAAGGATGCTCTTAGAATCTCTCAAAGTAGCTACCATGATGTCAAAAGCAAGTGATAAAGTATCTGAGCCTAGAGAACAAATCTCAGTTAAATCAAGTGTCTCAGAAATACCACATACTAATGGTTTGGTTTCTGTTGATGAAGAATCTTACGGTGCACTTTATCAAGCTACTGTAGAAACCACCAGAAGTTTGGCTGCTGCTTTAGATATCCTGAATACTGCCACAAGAGACATTGGCATGTTAAGTACAAGTCTTTGTGCTTCCCCAAATAAAATGGATGAAGAACAGAATGCCAGAGAAAGCTTACAGGATAGAAACTTAAAAGACCAGGACCATCTTTTTGAGGAAGAGATAGGAGCAGCAGGTGGAATTGATTTTAATGACTCAAGTCAGAATGCCCAGTTTGAACAAAATGGCTCAAGTGATTTATTATGTGACTTGAATACAAGTTCACATGGTACTTCTGCTCTTTGTAATGGCTTTTCTTTGGAAAATATATGTACCCAGGTCATAGAACAGAATCCGAATTTACATGGTGATTCAAAACAGAATACATTAACAAATGGAGAATGTGTGTTATCAGATGGCACTTCAACACCTTCCAGTCCACTTTCAGTAGCAGCACAACTTAGGGAAGTAATACCACCCAATGCTTTGCCTAATGGTACAGTTCAGCATATCCTCATGCCAGATAATGAGGATGAAGGAGGATTGTATTGGAGAAAAGTAGACTTAGGGGACTTGAGGAATGTGGATGTCTTATCTTTCAGTCATGTTCCATCATTCAAATTCCTTTCTAATTCATGTTGGTCTAAGCCAAAAGAAGATAAAGCAGTAGATACATCAGATTTGGAAGTTGCAGAAGATCCCATGGGCCTCCAAGGAATAGATCTGATCACAGCAGCATTACTCTTTTGTCTAGGAGATTCTCCAGGTGGGAGGGGTATATCTGATAGTCGCATGGTGGATGTTTATCACATTGACTTTGGGACTCAGACTTTTTCACTTCCATCTGCAATATTAGCTACAAATACAATGGTTGGGGAAATCGCTTCAGCTTCAGCCTGTGATCATGCCAATCCACAGCTTTCAAATCCTAGTCCTTTTCAGACACTTGGGCTGGATTTAGTGTTGGAATGTGTTGCTAGATACCAACCTAAGCAGCGTTCAATGTTTACCTTTGTGTGTGGACAGTTATTTAGAAGAAAGGAATTTTCTTCACACTTTAAGAATGTACATGGTGACATTCATGCTGGACTCAATGGCTGGATGGAACAGAGATGTCCTTTAGCTTATTATGGTTGTACCTATTCTCAGCGTAGATTTTGTCCGTCAACACAAGGAGCAAAGATCATACATGACCGCCATTTGAGGTCATTTGGAGTTCAGCCGTGTGTGTCTACAGTATTAGTAGAGCCTGCTAGAAACTGTGTGTTGGGATTGCATAGTGACCATCTAAGTGGTCTTCCTTTTGAGGTCCTGCAGCATATTGCAGGCTTTCTTGATGGCTTCAGTTTATGCCAGCTCTCACGAGTATCCAGGTTAATGAGGGACGTGTGTGGCAGTCTCCTTCAGTCTCGTGGAATGGTCATATTGCAGTGGGGGAAAAAGAAATATCCAGAAGGAAACTCATCTTGGCAAATAAAAGAAAAGGTTAGTTTAATCTTAATTGTCTTTACCTATTATTTGATACAAAGTAGGCACTTAATGCTGCTGAATTAATACAATTAATTGACCATGTAAGTTGACCATGTAAGACATACTGAGTAAATATGATGACAGACTTTGTATTAATAATAGATAATGAACTAAGAGAGTTAGAATTGCTTGTCATAATCATAGATTTTCTGCAGATTTCTTAGAATTCGATTCTAATCTAACATGGCAAGGGCCAGTTCTGTTTCTTCAAAAGAGCAGTTTTATATCCAATCAATTCTACTATACCAAGTCTTTATTTAGGTCCATTTTACCATCTGCTAATTTGAGCTCCATGTGAAACAATTTTCATTTTAAGACAGTGGGGGAAGCAAGCAGTAGAGGAAACACTTTCTTTTCCTGCTTCAGTTGTCACTTTTTCTCCATTCTTAGTGATTTCTCTTTTAGAAATTATTTCAGGTAGAACCGAAAGAGATGGAAAAAAGTTCTGAGTACCACAGTAACACTAGTAACTGACCAATGCAGTATTTGGGGGTAGAGAACATAAATGCCAAAGAGAGGTAAGAGTGGGAGAGTAGGATTTGATAAGGTTGGTGGGGACGCTGGGTTTTGTACAGTACAAAGGAGTGATGCATACTGGGAACTCGAGTTGGAGTTTTAGGTAGACCTGAACAAATCTGGCTCTACCGTTTTCTTTGTGTTATACCCTATTTTTACCCAGCTTCTCTTTAAAGCACTGTCCAATAGAAACTAGAAGGTATCTTTGATTGAAATGATTTTTCATTTTGGTACACTTAAAATATGAAACTTCACATTTAATAAAGTGGAAACCAGTTTTTTAAAAAGTAGAAACAATTTTGATAAATTTTTTTCATTACACAGCATTCAAATTTCAACTTACTTTGTTATTAGCACCCTACATGTTTTAGAGATGTTTTTCATTTGAGAACATTTATAATATAAAACTTTACATTTTATAAAGTGGAAGCGATTTTTATAATTTTACCCTTTGATTTTTCTCTTTTACTCATTGGTTCAGTTTTTCAGAATTTTGCATCTACTTTTGTTCTTCTAGGGCTTTGACCAGTAAATGAAAATAAATGATTTTGTAATTTTTTCCCCAAAAAAGGAATTCTGGTGGCAGAAAGTTCAACCCGTTGTGTCTGTGTGTGTCTGTGTGTGTGTGTGTGTGTGTGTATGTATATGTATATTATTAAATAATTCTTACACTGTTGCTGTAGGGTTTAAAACTTCTTTTAATATTTGTCTTTACCCTTGGGGTAGAGATAAAACAGTTAATACTTTTCATAATCTCATCATTTCTTACCTCTTTAGTTTCCTCTTGTCACTTTATTCTCCACCTATGTTGATTTACTTAAAGTTCCTTGGTCTTTCCTCCCTCAGGGAATTTGAATATGCTATCTCTAACACTCACATTTGAACAGTCACAGTATCCTAGACAGTGTACATTGGTATTTTTTTATTTTTAATTGCCAGAGAAAAGGCACTCTCATGGTAACACTGCAGGACTTTGTCTTTCATTCCTCTATCCCCTCAAAATCTTGGGTATGCACTTGTGTACACTAGACTAGTGTTTTTAAAGTTGCTGGGGCTGTGATTCATACAAAGGTTGGCCATGGGATCTGGCCCCTATGCACAGGCTTAACTGTTAGCTTTTTATTAGTACTTTAATTTATTTAATCTGCTGTTCCCATTTTACAGAGAAAACAGAAGTGTCTTGTCCAGCTAATAGATTCAGACCTAGGGAGGGAGCCTGTGCTCTTCATCTTGAGCTTATGCTCTTTATCTTCTTGCCTTGTCATATCTACTTTGCAGGTCTGTCTGTCTTACCCATAAATCCTCTTGCAGCCCCCACCCTGAAGCCTTCAGGCAGGTACACAACTCTGTGTTCCCACAGTGTTCCCATTTTATAATGCTACCAAAGCATTGACCGTGCTGCTTTTGTTTTTGTTTTGTTTTGTTTTCTGCCATAGGGCACATACACTCACTGGAGAGAGAGACACAGATGGGGAAAGTGAGAAATCACCCCCTTTTCTTCCATTCTCCTCCTGGGATTTTGGGCACAGACTCATACATGCCTGGCATGAATTTCAAGCCACTAGGTCCAGGACTGGAACTGTAGTCAGACATGTGGGAGGCCAGTGCCTTAACCTCCATACCACCTGCCTGCCCCTACCATGCAGGTTTGAAATTCATTGATAAATCCTCAGTTTCAGTCATTAAACTATGGAATTCCTTGAGAAGTAGGTCTCTGGGAAACAAAATATCTACTGCTTAGCATAGCACCTCCTATATATAGTAAGCGCTAAGTCAGTACTTGATGGATATTTGAATGAAAGATTGACCCATTACTGAGTTGTTTTATCATGAACAGGTGGAAGTTTTCCATTTATTTCTTTCTGCTTGCTTTTCTTGAGTTTATTTCATCAGACTCTTAATAGTCATGTGAAAGTGGAGGCAGCCTGCCACTACTGAATCTTTCAGTTGATTCATTCTGCCCTGACTTAAAGGGAACTTGTAATCCTCCTATAGCTTTGTGGGCATCAGAACTGTACGGAACTGACTCCTGGGACGTTACTCCATATAGGGTAGTTGAGCATAAACCCTTAAAAGTGAACAATGGTGACTCTGTTGCCAGCTGAAAAATAGTTGTGTTCCTACAGAATTTGAAGACCATCCTAGAAAGTTATTACCATCTTTTCCTGAATAGTAGTAATGAGAGCTGAGGGCTTCCCCACATTTAGTGCCCCTTCCTAGAGTATCTGCTGTTGGTTATATAGTCATTGTTCTTTAACCAGACATTTGCCTGTTGATGAGCTGACGAGGACACCTACACTGTCCTGCCCCATTCATGCTTGTTACACCAGCTGGTCTTCTTTGTATTGTTTGTTACTTATGTTCAGGTAGTGTTATATGTTATTTCTTTATTTATTATTTTAGAGTTGTTTGCCTTAGAGCATGTGTGTTTGCTGGAGGGAGACAGAGACAGAAGGAAAGTGAGAAATTAGCCCCCAGGGGGACAGTCACACCACAGTCCCTTTTCCTCCATTCTACTCTCAGGATCTTAGACACACACATGCACATGCCCAGTGTGAATTTCAAGCCACAGGGTATAGGACTCAACTGCAGTAGACTGTGTGGGAGTCCAGAAGTGTAAGCACTACACTACCTGCTGGGCCTGCTTTATATTTTCATTTATAAAGATGAGAGGGGCCATTGCTGGACTAGTAAAGATGGACTGGAGCTGCTGAGTAGGCAAAAAGAGGAGTAGACCCTATTTTTACCAGCAGACACAGGAATGGGGATGGCAGGTGAATATTTTACCTGGAAACACATTTTACAATGATATGGACTAAAATGAGATTAATTTTATGAAGTTCTTTCTATATAAATTTTCAGAAATACTTTGAACAAATCTAAGTACCTAATGTCCTGACATCCTACTACCTTCCTTTAGTATTTAAGAATAATACAGAGAAAGATAAGCTACCTTAGTGCACACTATTCCAGGGTATTTTTTAGTATATTTCATATGGAATGGGGAAAAACCCTAGAAGAAAAAAAGAACACTTGTACTGTCAATAATTTTTAGACTGGATAGGATGAAAGAATAGCGTGAAATATATATTTTAGGAAGTGGTTCTGAATTTATGAGGTTATGATTTTTTAAATTATTTAATAAGACCGGCTACATGTGATTTTTTTAATGTTGCATTTAATCTTTTTTCTTTTTGATTATTTATTGAAATTATAATGTCATGGAAGTGATTTCTCTTTTAAATATTTGGCAAACACATTTGTATGCAAATAGATTTACTGCTATTTAATTTTGTAGCTAACTGCTTGAAACTTTATATTGATGTTTCTTTAACAGTAGAAATGTATGCAGTTAGAGGAAGTGTGTTTGACTATAAATAGATTTGTTTAAATCTGAAGTAGAATTTTCTTCCAGGTATGGCGATTCAGTACTGCATTTTGTTCTGTTAATGAATGGAAGTTTGCTGACATCCTAAGCATGGCTGACCACTTGAAGAAATGCAGTTACAATATTGTAGAGAAGCGGGAGGAAGCCATCCCATTGCCGTGTATGTGTGTGACACGCGAGCTTACTAAAGAAGGACGATCACTGCGCTCTGTGTTAAAACCTGTACTTTAAAACTGTGACTTCACTTGCACAGATATGCAAGCACCTAGTATAATTTCCTTGTAACATGTGACACTTTATTAATGTATTAAAGATTACAACTAGCTAAATTTATTGTCACTATGTATATAATGTTTTGAAGTGACATATATTTTTATAAAGTACTGTTTAGTTGGGAAAAACATTGCCTTAATGTTTGAAATGTGTGAAATCTTTGGAACTTGCTGTACAGGGTGATTTAATTTTTAGCCACATTTTTCAGAGTTAGTATTTTTAATGGTGTGCATATTTTGGTTCTTAAACTTTTGCTTTTTAAACTAGCAAGATCCTGACCAAACAAGTTATTCCTCCTATTTTCTGTGGGTTGCCACCCATACGATCAAAAAGCAAAACTTTGCTTCAAATTTTTACAGCATTTTTTTAAGCAAAAACATCAGTTGCTTAAGCACTGCCATAAGATTGTGATAAAGTTTTAATATCCTACTGCTCCCCTTATACAGTTGTTGAGGCATAGGTGATCTCACATATTAATAAATAATAGTTCAAATCATGACTATTTGACCATTTATCAATTTTTTAAAAATCCACAAATGTGTTTTCATTTTATCTACTTACAACTCTTTAAACAGAGTGTGACCATATGCAGGTTCCTTTTTTGTTAGATGCCATTATATCCAAAGACTCATGCAGCATATTGATGACAGGTCACAGCCAAAACAAAAAAGCAAGCCTGTGAATTTACCGTAATTTGAAACTGCACATGGTATTAGGTATTTGCTAAGTATTTAAAGTTTGAGAAGAAAAATATACCTCATTTGAGTCTGAATTGGGCATATCGTATGAATAAATTTGAAATATTCTGAATGCAAAGGGCTTAACTTTTTTTCATAAGCATTTAAAATGTTTGCCTTTTCATGTTTATGAAAATTTCAACTATGTTCTTTTAAGAAATTTAAAAATGTGAAATTTGGAATCTTCCTTGTTAAGATGACAATCATGTAAGAACCTGTTTTGGTCGACAGTCTAACTAGTAGCTTGTAGACTTCTCTACCAAGTAAGTAAGAATGGTATCTTTGTGTAAAGATCAAGGTGTGATAGAAAAATATTCAAAGACCTATTCTTGAAGTATTTTACTACAGTTTTACATTGATTTATACTGTTACTAATCCAATGTGGTCAGTTTTTAAAAATGAATTTATCATTGTTTAAAAATAAATTGCAAAGAGGAGGACATGTACTTAAATAATTTGTCTTAAGTAAATTCTAGCATTTGGTAGTCTAAAATGGTGACAAGTTACCTTGTTACAAATGTCAAAACTATTGTGTCTTTTTTTCTTTCCACATTTATTCCTGAGAATACGCTATGGTTACTATGTTTTTTATTTCCTTTTATGGCAATCAGGCTGGGCATAGGCGTTCCTTGGGCATTAGGAAATTCTGAACTACTTAAGCTTTGTTTTGGTTGGATCAAGTCCTTATTATAGTTGAAAAACACAACATTAAAGCCTAATCAATTGTTTTGCCTCACCTGTCAGTTAAGTGAGTAGAATACTTTTTTCTCAGTGCTTAAACTTTCTTTTTCAATTGTGAGAACGAATTATAAAGTCTCACATTCAGAGAAAAAGCCAGAAATATCAAATACTGTAAAATGTAACTGCCTTTTAAAGTTTTGCTGAAGAATGTGTCTATGGTTAGGATAGCACAAACATTAACTTTGTGTTTTATGGTTGTGCTTTTTAAAATCCATGGTTTTTTTAGTTTAGACTTCTTGTTTCCACACATCAGCTGTTTAACTTTTTTTTCACTTTATATTTCTTTCCACATCTTTTGCTATTTTCTTATTTGTTATGCCACCATACTATTTTGTTAAAATGTTTTCTTTGTGCAACATTTGTTCAAGTTCTAATAAAATTAATGCTTTCCCTTTATGTGACTCAGTAACTTAAAAAGAAAAACTTGCATTAAATAAATTTAAAATACTTGTTTGACAAATTCCAAACACAATCACACTGTTTCTGTAATGTAGATTTTCTGCATGGTGTAGGATTTGCTTATCATTGCTCAATCATGTTCTGGTGAACATAAAAAATATTTTTTTAATATGAAAAACTCATTATTTAGCTTTCTCTGAACCCCTCCAATGACTTGAAAATAGTCCTACTTAGGGGTATTGAGAGCATGATTATCTCTAAAGTTTGTAATAGGAACCATCTGTCTAGCCTCCTTAAGTATGAAAAATTTTGTACATTGGCCTTGTCAATCATCATTTGAGAAGTCTGTTGATGTCTTTGCTAACCAGCAAGATAAAGGGCTAGCATCAGGATGGAGGGAAAAATCTGAAGTCACTTTTGTCCTCTGCCTCTTTTCCCAATACAAGTTTAGCATCCCTTGGCCAAAATGCTTAGGACCAGAAGAGATTCAAGTCTTGAATTTTTTCAAATTTTGTAATATCTACATATACATAATGAGATTACTTGAAATGGAACCCAAGTCTAAACATAAAATTCATTTATGTTTCATAAAGACCTTGTTCACATACCTGAAAAGTAATTTTATACAATATTTTTATTGTAGTATTTTAAAGACTGTGACCAGTCTTCCAAGGTCGGCTGTGGACTTTTCCGTTTGTGTCATATGGGTACTGAAAAAGTGCCAGATTTGGGAGCATTTCAGATTTTCAGGTTAGGATGCTCAACCAGTATTGCCTGTTACTTCATATCTATCTATTCTTTCTTTTTCATTGGCTTTTAAGATTCACAGGTCACAGTAGCATCAGCATCACCAGGAAATTTTTTAGAAATGCAGATTCTGGGGCCTCTTCTCAGATTTAGGGATACGAAGACTCTTTTTAACAAGGTCCTCAGGTGATTCTGATGCACAGTACGTAAACTTAGAGGAAAACCTGGATGTGCCAGCTGTTCTCTGATGTGTTATTGGAGTGGATTTGTGTGTGTATGTACATGTATGTAATCCAAAATTAAGAATATTGATAATTTATTGATATTAATGGTTACATTAAGTATTTTTTGTCCATAGACATGTGGCAATACATTGGGTACTATGGAGGTTGGACTTTTCAAAAAACTAGTGTTTACTAGTATTTCAAATGTCTAATATTTCACTAGCAATTTTCATTTGTTTACTTAATTGCAGTGCAAATTTTAGTTTATTAGAACTAACATTTAGCTTAGTCATCTTATTCTATTATTTAGTGGTTGCAGAGTCCTGTGAACATGATAGATTTTTAAGATAAGCAAAGAGTGTAGATGTAGACAATATGGGATTAAATCAGACAAACTACTTGTAGGGATCCTTTCACCCTATTAAGAAGAGACCTTGAAGATTGGATTCCTGGTTATCTGTATAATAGACTCTTTTTTGATCTTCAGCCCTGTGCTGCATATCCCATCAATGTTGTTCCTGTTACTACTTGTCCCTTAACATTGGCTATCACAGTCTTAATCATGTTGAAGATATGGTAGTTTATATTGATAACAGATTTTCCCTGTGGATATCTGACTAGTTTTAGGTGTTTGGAAGCAAAACAGATGTCTGCATCTTGCGTTCCCACCTAAAAAAGCATGGCGTTGATTCATTTTTTAAATTAAGGAGAAGTTATTCAAACATTTCTTTAAAGGTGTTTGTTTCATGTGTGGTAATACCACTTTGGAAGGTGTGTGATGGGAATCTACCACCTTACTTAAAAGTGTAGCTGAAAAAAACAGTGGGTTTTTTGTTTTTGCTTGTTGATGGAAAGAATTTCACCGACTCGTTTATCTGAATGTCGCTGTAAGTGATCCTAACATGAGGCAAGTCTAGGGAGCCATAGGATATTAGCAATACCTCTAAAAAAAAAAATCACTTCATCAGTGACTCATTCCACTGTGCTTAAAATAATTTAATTCTGTACATAGAATTTCTCTAAATCTGATTTTAAGAAAAAAATTTGAGTTGAATAAAGGCCAACTCTGGTGAAGTCCTTTCTAAGTAAAATAAAGGACTGGCAATGGGACAACAGTAACACTGCTGTGATGCTGGACCCTGAGGAAGTGCTGAGTTCACATGTGATGGTTCCCGGTACACATACACACTGTGATCTGGTCTAGCTGAAGCTGAGGGTGGGTCATGGTGTGATGACCCTGTTGGAGTTGTGTGTCTCTGTCTGTCTCTGTCTCTCTCTCTCATAGGGGAAATAAACTTGAAAAACTTAGGAAAGTATTCTCTTTTTTTTGCTCTAGGGTGCTCAAAATAGACAGAGATAGAGAGACAGAAAGCAAGAAATCATCGCATCCCCCTACCCCCTAGGGGAAATGGCCACGCCCCAATCCCTTCTCCATTTTCCTCTAAGGATTTTGTGCACACATGTACATGTGCCCAGCATGAGTTTTAAGTCGCTGTCAACTTTGTGTTAGTCCAGCAAAGTAACCATTATGCCATCAGCAGATCCTTAGAATTGTTTGAAGTCCTTTATATTTAATTATTTCCTTTTACTTAGAAGTAAGTTCCGGCGCCAGCAGGTGGCATCATGGATAAGGGCGCTGAACCTCCCACATGGATGACCGTGGTTCAAGTCCCAGATCTGGCGGCTTGCTTTTTCATGTTCCCTCTCTCTCATTCTCTTGCTCTGTCCCTCTCTGGTCAAAATAAAAAATAAATGAATTAAAAAATTCAAAGATATGCCCTTTCAAATTTCACTTCAAAACAGATACACAAAAGTTTAGGGGAGAGAGAGTTGTCCTGACATGGGTCATTTTTCTACTTTACTGATGCAGAAAGAGAAGGGACATTTAGATACAAGGACATTACTTTAAAAATATTGTTACCTAGAATATTTGATTCTGCTAGGTGTTTTGGAAAGAATTTGAGGACAATACCAAAAGAAAACAAAGTAGAAACTAACCATGTGTGGTATGTGGTTCTGCAAATTCTTTTCAAAACTAAGGCCTTTGCTAAATCTTTAGCAAGTATTTTATTGCATCTGACTAAAAATATTCTTTATTATTTATACATGTATTTAGTTGACATGAATGATGTTTATAATTGGCCAGTACATCTTGAGATGTATTAATGGAGATACATCTAGAGAAGTTTTATTACTTACTGTGTTTCAAAACTGACGTTTTGTATTCAGATTGATATTACAATGATGGTGAGAGTAATTTTTCATTATTTTAATAAAGAAACTACAAAGAAATAGGCTTCAAGGCAGATGCATGAGCATACTGTGTAGAAACACAGGAAAAATTGATGCAAATCTCCTTTATGTAATTGTTTATTTTATTTTTTTGATGTGCTGGACTGAGGTTTCCATTCTTTATGAAGAAGAGAATTTCTGAAACAAACTGACAAACTATAGACTCATGATGTTTATTTTTCACCAACACTAATAAAATTTTAAGCCTCTCCAAAATCATATTAGCCCCTTTGCATGTAATTACTCTAATAGAAAATTATTTTTTAATACATAGCTAGTTCTAGTGGTGGTTAATAGTTGATGTGTTTGAAAGTAATAAAACTGCATTTCTGTTGAACTTTTAAACCAATTCATTGGGTCAAGTTGTCCTTTCCCAACAAAGACAACTTTATTAGGTTTAATTTTTACCTTCATGATTTATAAAATGTTTCTTCTCAGATTCTTAGGTAAATAGGTTAATATGTGTGTATGTGTTCATTCTTTGGCAGAGGAACTGTTTAGAGTTAGATAGCTTTCTGTACCCCTGTCAAAAAGTGACATTAACTTTCTTATTATTCAGTGTAGTTGTGAGGCCTAATGATATAAGAACAGTAGGAATAATTTGTTAGTACTCAAAAGATTGAGGTTTAAGAAAAGAGCATCCTGTACTCTACTGTCCTTATAGAATTTTTCTGTCCTTTTCCCATATTGTCATTATTGCTTATTTATCCCACAATTTTAATTTTTTGATGAGATAAAAAAGCTGAGTTTTAAAAAATCTTATGCTAATTAGCCGAAATTAGTAGTTTTGGTCAGTAATCTTAGATTTAATTAACTTAATCCAACTTCTTTTGAATTCCCTTTCAGCTTGTCAAGTGAATAAACAAACGTGTAATATAAAAAATTGAATTACCAACATTCAGGATTTAACGATTTTATATGATTAAAACAAATCAAACATAGAAATGGGAATGATAAGAGGCACTCCATCTGTTCAAAGTAAAATTAGCCAGTGAATAATTACGTCAATGGTATGTCTTACATCAACTGATGACTTCTAAAATATTGTTACCTGCATTTTTAATAAAACGAGGGATTTGAAATGAGAGAATGGGATTGATTGCCTACCACATTCCACATAGCTATGATAACAGATCTAACATGTAAAATTATTTTGAATGGTTAATTTGGTGGACATGAACTCTAAAGATTTTTATCTGAATTTAAAATGTTAGTCGCCGTGTTCATTTGATTAGTGTTTAAGTACCAATCAATACTGAAAACTTGAACTACATTCTGAAAGGTAATTGCACTGACTCACTCACTTACCTCAAATGCCATTTAGTTTCCAGTGTCTCTTCCTTTCACATGATTTGTGTTAATAGTTGTCTTTACCTTAAACGCAAAAGGTGGTGATACTCCTTGAGGGAAAAACATGCTAAGTGAATGAAGCTAGACACAAAGGGCCACATATTGCTATGATTCCATTTATATGAAGTACCTAAAATAGGTAAATCCTTAGAGACAGAAATCAGATTAGTATTTTCAGAAGGAAGAGTGACCTGCTTAATGGGTAAGAAATTTACTTTTGGAGATTAAAATATTCTAGAACAAGATGGTGGCAATGGTTGTACAATATTGTCAGTGTACTAATGCCATTGAATTGTATGCCTTAAAATGATTTTATGTTATGCATATTTTACCACACTTTTTTTTTTTAATGTGGTATTTGCAGACCTTAGCCAAACCCAAAAG